ACAATAGTCAAGGCGAGATATAACCAGGGAGGGAATAAGTTGCTTAGTAGTTTTCCGAGGTTAGGAACGGGCGTATCTTGGAGATGTTGTGGAGGTGAAGTCTACAAGATTTGGACAGTGATTGGATTTGGGGTGAAAGGACAGATGGGAGTCTAGGATTACACCTAGTACCCTGGCATGAGGGGAGGGACTGATGGTTGTGTTATTGATCTTGATGGAGAAGTCAGAGAAGGGGGCATGGGATGGAGGGAATACGAAGAGCTCAGTTTTGGAAAGGTTGAGTTTGAGGAAGTGGAGTGACATCCATGCCGATATGTCGCTTAGTAGGTTAGTAATGCGAGAGGAGAATTAAGAGGTGAGGTGAGGGGTAGAAAGATAGATTTGTGTGTCATCAGCATAGAGATGGTACTTAAAGCCATGGGAGTTTTTCAAGACCAAGGGAGGAGATGGAGAAGAGAAGGGGTCCAAGGACAGAACCTTGAGGGACCCCTACAGAAAGAGGGAGTGAAGAGGAGGAGGCAGTGTTAGAGGTAATGCTGAAGGATCGCTGCGATAGGTAGGAGGAGAACCAGGAGAGAGCAGAGTCTCTGAGACCAAGAGAGTGGAGTTTTTTGAGGAGGAGGGAATAGTCAACCATATCAAAAGCCGCAGAGAGGTCAAATAGTAAGAGTACGGAGTAGTGGCCATTGGTTTTAGCTGTTAGTAGATCATTAGTGAGTTTTAGTAGGGCAGTTTCAGTGCAGTGTAGTGAGCGAAAGCCAGACTGTAAAGGGTCAAGAAGGTTGTTTTCGATGAGGTGGGAGCTCAGGCGATTGTAGACTAAGCATTCTAGGAGTTTAGAGGTAAATGGCAGCAGGGAGATGGGTCTTAAGTTGTTCAGGTTGGTGGGTTCCAGGGAGGGCTTTTTAAGTTTGGGAGTGATGTGCGCATGCTTTAGAGGAGAGGGGAAGGCACCAGTAGAGAGGGAAAGATTGAAGATGTGTGTGAGGGATCACAGGATGGAAGAAGTGGGGTGACCGTAGTAGTTGTGAGGGGACAGGATCCAGGGGGCAGGTAGTGAGATGGGCTTCTGAGAAAACCTTAGTGACCTCTTCGGTAGTAACAAGGTCAAAAGAGGAAAGTGTTGAGGGAGGTTTAGTATAAGGTATGCTAATTGGGATGGATGTCTGTGCAGTGGCGATGCCCCTATGAATTGCATCAATCTTGTTTTTGAAATGATTTGCAATCTCGTGAGCAGTGAGAGAGATACTGGGTGGAGGTGGAGGTAGAGAAAGTAGAGAGTTAAAAGTAGAGAAGAGACTATGAGGACTGGATGAGAAGGTATTAATAAGAGTGACAAAGTAGGCTTGTTTGGCAGCATGAAGGGAGGACTTGTATGTTAAGAGAGCAGATTTATATAGGGTGCATGCTTGTTGAGATTTGGTTTTACGTCACAATTGCTCCAGCGCACGACTATGTCGTTTAAGATTTCTGGTGTCGTCAGTCTGCCGTGGTTGTAATGGTCGAGGCCTGATGCTTCGTGTTGTTAGAGGAGCAAGTGAGTCTAATGCGGATGAAAGCGAACTGTTATAGACAGCAGTGGCCAGGTCAGGACAGGGTAGAGATTCTGTCATAGAGTTGGTCAGTTGCAGAGTGGAAAGGAGCAGGGTTCAAGTTATGAAGGTTTCTGCGGGTAATTGTTTGCTGCTTGGAGGGATAGGTGTTTGAAGACAGGACACTGTGAAGGTGATGAGATTGTGATCAGAGAGAGGAAAGGGGGTGTTTGTGAGGTTTTAGGGAGTGCAAAGATGGGAGAAGACAAGGTCGAATGTATTCCCATCAGAGTGAGTGGAGGACTGTGTCCATTGTGCTAATGCAAAAGATGAGGTTATGTTGAAGAGTTGGGATGTAGCCGGGTTGTTGACATTAATAGGGATGTTAAAATCTCAGAGAATGATAGTGAGTAGTTCAGAGGAGAGAAAGTAGGGTAGCCAGGTGGAGAAATCATCAAGAAAGCGGGACACCGGTCCAGGAGGCCGATATAGATCACTGCAATCCACAGAGAAATGGGAGAAAACAGTCGGATGCAGTGAGTCTCGAAAGAAGAGAAGGATAGAGAGGGAGGGTTAGGGACAGGGGCGGACTGACAACTCATGGTGCCCCCGGGCAATAGGGGATAATGGGGCCCCTGTGTCCTTGCCCACACTCAAAAAAAGCCTATAAAAAAGGTACTAGGGTCATTTTATGGGGCCCTCTACTGACCCCGGGCCCTCGGGCAGTGCCCGAGTGCTCAAATGATCAGTCCGCCCCTGGTTAGGGAGGACTTGAAATGTGCTCACTGGGGATAGAAGCAAACCCACTCCACCACCTTTCTGACCACTGGGTCTGGGTGAGTGGGTCCAGATGAGGCCTCCATAGGAAAGTGTGTTGCGGGAGAAGCAGAATCTGCTGCTTGGAGCCAAGTTTCTGTAATTGCTAGTAGGTTAAGGGAGGGAGACAGTTAGGTAGATATATATTTGGACACAGGCACAATTTTCATACTTTTGGCTCTTTATGCCACCAGAATAAATTAAAATGAAACAATCCACATGAATTTGAAGTGGAGACTTTCAGCTTTAATTCAAGGGGTTGAACATAACTATCAAGTTCACATTTTAGGAACTGCAACCATTTATATACACAGTCCCTCCATTTTCAGGGGCTCAAATGTAATTGGACAATTGAATATAATCATAAATACAATGTTCACTTTTAATATTTTGTTGAGAATCCTTTACTGGCAATGACTGCCTGAAGTCTGGAACCCATGGACATTACCAAAGACTGGGTTTCCTCCTTTCTGATGCTTTGCCAGGCTCTAACTGCAGCTGTCTTCAGTTGTTCTTTGTTTGTGGGTCTTTCTGCCTTTTAATTTTGCCTTCAGCAAGTGAAATGCATGCTCAGTTGGGTTGAGAGATCAGGTGATTGACTCGGCCATTGCAGAATATTCCACTTTTCCTTCAAAAGCTCCTGGGTTGCTTTGTCAGTGTGTTTTGGATCATTGTTCATCTGTACTGTGAAGCGCTGTCCAATCAACTTTGCTGCATCTGGGCTGACAATATATCTCTAAATACTGCAGAATTCATCCGACTGCTTCTGTCTTCTGTCACATCATCAATTAACACCAATGACCCAGTGACACTGGAAGCCATGCATGCCAATACCATCACACTGCTTCCACCATGTTTTACAGATCACGATGTGTGCTTTGGATCATGAGCTGTTCCAAGCCTTCTCCACACTTTTTCCTTCCCATCATTCTGGTACAGATTAATCTTAGTTTCATCCATCCAAAGAATGCTTTTCCAGAACTGGTCTGGCTTTTTTAGATGTTTTTTGGCAAAGTCTAATCTGGCTTTCTATTCTTCAGGCTTATGAATACTTTGCACCTTGTGGTGAACCCTCTGTATTTGCTCTCATGAAGTCTTCTCTTGATTGTAGACTTTGACAACGTTACTGCCACCTCCTGGAGAGTGTCCTTCACTTGTCTGGATGTTGTGAATGGGTTTTTCTTTACCATAGAGAGGATCCTGCGATCATCCATCACTGTTGTTTTCTGTGGACGTCCATGCCTTTTTATGTTGCTGAGCTCTCCTGTGCGTTGTCTTTTCCTCAGAATGTACCAAACTGTTGATCTGGCCATTCCTAATGTTGCTGCTATCTCTCTGATGGATGTTTTTTTTCATTTTTGAAGCCTTACAATGGCCTGTTTCACTTGCATGGACAGCTCCTTTGAACGCATGATGTAGGTTCACAGCAATAGATTCCAAACGCAAATACCACACTTAGAGTAAACTCCAGACCTTTTACCTGCTTAATTGATGAAGAAATAATGAAGGAGTAGCCCACACCTGGCCATGAAACAGCTTTTGATTACTTTTGGTCCCTTCCAATTACTTTTGGTCCCTTGAAAAAGGGGGGTGGCTACTCTTAAGAGCTGTAATTCTTAAACCCTTCCTCCAATTTGGATATACATATTCTCAAATTATGCTCTTTCAGCCCATATCCATTATATAACTATGGCTTGGCTATGTTTTGGTAAATACCTGAAAAAAATGAAAATTGTGCCTGTGTCCAAATATATATGGACCTAACTGTATGTATTGTATGCATTCTTTGGTTTGTACAGTACTCCTGAGCCTGATGTACAAAATGTGGCACTCTAATGAATTTGGCAGTCTCCATCTCCTGAGGTTACTTCCTTTCCTGCTTTCCGCAGTCCTGTAGTCACTATCCCATGCTTTGCAGCAACATTTACCAAGACTATCTGCCTGTATTTACACTTTTTAGAACATTTTCCGTAACCACTTGACCTCTGGAAGATTTTGCCCCCTTCATGACCAGGCTATTTTGTTTGCTTTTCAGCACTGTGCTACTTTAACCACTTACCCTCCAGAGGATTTACCCCCTTTTTTTGCTATACGGCGCTGCACTACCTTAACTGACAATTGCGCGGTCATGCAACACTGCACCCAAATGAAATTTATGTCCTTTCCCCCCCACGAATTGAGCTTTCTTTTGGTGGTATTTGATCGCCTGGGCATTTTTAATTTTTAGCTCTATAAAAAAAAAAAAAGGCTGACAATTTTGAGAAAAAAACAATATTTCGGACTTTTTGCTATTAAACATATCCAGTAAAAAAATATAAAAAATCAAATTTTGTCATAAATTTAGGCCAAAATGTATTCTGCTACATGTCTTTGCTAAAAAAAAAAATCCCAATACGTATAAATTAATTAGTTTACGTGAAAGTTTTAGAGTTTACAAATGGCGGTATATATATACTGGGATTTTTATTTTTTTATTTTTACTAGTAATGGTGACGATTAGCAACTTATAGCGGGACTGCGGCAGGCATTCTGACACTGGGGGGAATTGACTTGGTGTCACTGACATCCTCAGTGACACCAATGCAGTGATCAGTGCTAAAAAAAAGGCACTGACACTGCACTAATGGCACTGGGCAGGAACGGGGTTAACATGAGGGGTGATCAAAGGGTTAACTGTGTGCAGGGAGAGTTTTACTATGGGGTGTGCTTCACTGTAATCACACTGCTCTGGATGGCTGTGCTGTGCCTCTGACAGTTATCACCCAAAATAATGTTCCCAATAGAAGATTTCCCTTTTATTCCTGTTCTGGTGCTAGCTCAGAACTTTGGATATCCCATCACCAGAACTTTGGATATCCCATCACCAGAACTTTGGATATCCCATCACCAGAACTTTGGATATCCCAACACCAGAACTTTGGATGTCCCATCACTTTCTGTCTTGGTGACAAATAGAGGGAGAAGCTCTCCAGAGGGGAAACAGATAGCAATAGAAACTTGACAGGGGATCTAACCTTGCCTTTTGCCAAAATCTAATCTAAAACCATAAGATACATTTTGGATTTAGATACACTACAAATGTTATCTGGACCCTTTTTCTCCCATTCTGAAGTTGGGACGTATACACTTGTCACATGGCTGCTAGTGTGATTTGACTTTTCAGGAATAATTTTTCTTCCAGGGACAAATCTTCAAAATTTGGAGGCATCTATGCAAATCAGTACCCACTGTGGACCTCCTATGGTTCCAGCACAGCAACATTTTTTGAAGATCGCATTCACACTACTTGTACAATGCCTTGAAAAAGTATTCATCCCCCTTGAAATTGTCCACATTTTGTCATGTTACAACCAAAAGCATAAATGTATTTTATTGGGATTGTATGTCTCTACCAGCTTTGCACATCTAGAGAGGGGCTTTTCTGTCCATTCTTCTTTGCAAAATAGCTCAAGCTCTGTCAGATTGGATGGAGAGCGTCTGTGAACAGCAATTTTCAAGTCATGCCACCGATTCTTAATTGGATTTAGGTCTGGACTTTGACTGGGCCACTCTAACACATGAATATGCTTTCATCTAAACCATTACATTGTAGCTCTGGCTGTATGTTTAGGGTCGCTGTCCTGCTGGAAGGTGAACCTCCTCCCCAGTCTCAAGTCTTATGCAGACTCTAACAGTTTTTTTTTTAAGATTACCATGTATTTGGCTCCATCCATCTTCCCAATAACTCTGACCAACTCCCCTGTCCCTGCTGAAGAGCAGCATCCCCACAATATGATGCTGCCACCACCATGTTTCACGGTGGGGATGGTCTGTTCAGGGTTAGTTATCCGCCACACAATGTTTTACTTTTAGGCCAAAAAGTTCAATTTTGGTCTCATCTGACCGCAGCACCTTCTTCCACATGTTTGCTGTGTCCCCCACATGGCTTCTCGCAAACTGCAATGGGAATTCTTATGGCTTTCTTTCAACAATGGCTTTCTTCTTGCCACTCTTCCATAAAGGCCAGATTTGTGGAGTGCACGACTAATAGTTGTCCTGTGGACAGATTCTCCCACCTGAACTGTGGATCTCTGCAGCTCCTACAGAGTTACCATGGGCCTCTTGGCTGCTCTCTTATTATTATAATACAGTATTTATAAAGCACCAACAGTTCGCTCAGCGCTGTACATTACAAAGGGGGACAGAACATGTGACAGTACGAAAACAATACAATGTGATACACGAGGGATTCGAGGGCCCTGCTCTTTCTAGCTTACAATCTAGGAGGGAGGGGATGGTGGTACAGGAGGAGATAGGCTGGGCAAGGAGAGAATTAATCTTCCTACCACTCCATTCCCCACAGCTGTCAGTTTAGGTGGATGGCCATGTCTTGGTAGGTTTGTAGTTGTGCCATACTCTTTCCATTTTCGGATGATGGATTGAACAGTGCTCCGTGAGATGTTCAACGCTTGGGATTTTTTTTATAACCTAACCCGGCTTTAAACTTCTCCACAACTTTATCCATGACCTGTCTTGTGTGTTCCTTGGCCTTCATGATGCTGTTTGTTCACTAATGTTCTCTAACAAACCTCTGAGGGCTTCACCGAACAGCTGTATTTATACTGAGATTAAATTACACACAGGTGGACTATTTACTAATTATGATAAAAATAATGGTGTAGTGCTGAAACTAAATCTGCAAATGCCACAATAAATGATTAAAAAACATAAAATACATAAATTATATATAAATCAATACATAAGTGGTAGATCCTACAAGATCTAAAATATCGGTGTCTCAAACTGTGATATTGCCAGTAACACAAAGTGCATATGTTGAAACTGGTCCTATGCAGGGACTCTCATAAAGTGACAATAATCAGTCCCACCAGGGACCCCCAAAAACTAGGTGATGTATAAAGTGAATCCCAAAAATGGGATATATGCAAATAAAGTGACTGGTGTAAAATACCCAAATGCAATATATTGACATAAACTTCATAAACGCACATAAACAATAATAAAAGTGTCCAAAATAATGTGAAGAATTGCAAAAATTGCAATAAATGCAAAGATGTGCCTTTATCCTCAAAACATGTGCTTTGGTGCTGGTGCAGATGGTGAGCATATATCCTTAGATGGCAGGCATGCCCCTCACCTCCTTGCTGCGACCCAAACGGGTCAACATGCCTTTTGGATCACCCTGGATCAGGGGCGGACTGACCATTTGGACACTCGGGCACTGCCCGAGGGCCTGGGGTTAGTCGGGGGCCCCATGAGATGCCCTTGGTACCTTTTTCATAGGCTTTTTTGAGTTTGGGTAAGGACACAGGGGCCCCATAATCCCCTATTGCCCGGGGACCCCATGAGTTGTCAGTCCGCCCCTGCCCTGGATCCTACAGGTAACGACTCTCCAGGCCACTCTGATTCCACTGACCCTCACTGGTAACTTCCTTCCAATATAGGTCACTCACCCAGAGTCGAACATGGACGTGGAATGTGATTAACTTTATCTGGTATGAAGAAGTAGCTGTTGTTTTCACCATGTCCTCTCCGCTCTGAATCTTGTTATCATCTTATTTACTAATTAGATGACTTCGGAAGGCAATTGGTTCCACTAGATTTCAGTTAGGGGTATCAGAGTAAAGGGGGCTGGGTACAAATACATGCCACACTTTTCACATATTTATTTGTAAAAAAATTTGAAAACCATTTATCATTTTCCTTCCACTTCACAATTATGTGCCACTTTGTGTTGGTCTATCACATAAAATCCCAATAAAATACATTTACATTTTTTTGTTGTAACACGACAAAATGTGGGAAATCTCAAGGGGTACAAATACTGTTTCAAGGCACTGTATTGGGATGCTCTGGGACACGTTGCCCAATGCAATCCCAATGTAATGACATCCTTGACTCCCATCTGTCCTTTCACCCCCAAATCCAATCACTGTCCAAATCTTGTAGACTTCACCTCCACAACATCTCCAAGATACACCCGTTCCTAACCTCGGAAACCACTAAGCAACTTATTCCATCCCTGGTTATATCTCGCCTTGACTATTGTAACTCCCTCCTCAGTGGCCTACCTCATCGCAGGCTATCCCCTCTTCAGTCTATCATGAATGCTGCTGCCAGACTCATCCACCTTACTAACCGTTCTGTATCTGCCACCCCTCTCTGCCAATCCCTCCACTGGCTGCCCATTGCCCAACGGATAAAATTCAAAACACTAACAATAACGTATAAAGCCATTTATAACTCTGCCCCAAATTACATCACCGGTCTTGTCTCCAAATATCACCCAAACTGTACTCTCCGCTCCTCACATGACCTCCTGCTCTCTAGCTCCCTTGTCTCCTCCTCCCATTGCTTGTCTCCAGGACTTCTCCAGAGCCTCCCCCATCCTCTGGAACTCTCTACCCCAATTTATCAGACTATCGCCTACTCTGCTCACTTTTAGGCGATCTCTGAAAACCTCTCTCTTCAGGGAAGCCTATCCTGCCCTAAGCTAATAACGGAATCTTCTACTCTTCCAACCAGTCCATCCCCCACAGTTACTACCTTTTGTACCACTAGCCCCTCCCTCTTAGATTGTAAGCTCCAAGGAGAAGGGCCCTCACATCCCTCTTGTATTGAACTGTATTGTTGCTGTATTGTCTCCCTTTATATTGTAATGTGCTAAGCAAAGTGTTGGCGCTATATAAATCCTGTATAATAATAATAACGCAGTTTGCTGTGGTGCATGCTGAAAAAACATATCATGTGCAGTACTTTTTTTCAGCGCATTGGGTCGCAACAAAAACCACCACATCCCAACATTAGAAATGGAAATGAAATGAAACCAGCGTAATGCGACAGGATCGGTGGTTCGGCAATGTGTCCTCCTGGCATACATTGCGTTCATCACAGCTGCTGGGGTGAATCAGCCCAAAGGATTGGTTCACACTAGGAATCGCACAGGAAAGCGTTTTGTGTTCCTGTTCAATTCACATGTGGTTCAGCGTGGTGCGATTTGAGCCCGGTCATTCTGAATGTGCTCCAATCGCACTGCATCGCACCAAAAGTAGTGCATGGTACCAGGGGCGGACTGACAACTCATGGGGCCCCCGAGCAATAGGGGATCGTGGGGCCCCTGTGTCCTTGCCCAAACTCAAAAAAGCCTATGAAAAAGGTACCAGGGGCATCTCATGGGGCCCCTTACTGACCCCGGGCCCTCGGGCAGTGCCCGAGTTTCCAAATGGTCAGTCCGCTCCTGCATGGTACATTTATTCAATGTGATCTGGTGTAGACAAACACACGCACAGATTGCAGGTTTTCCAAACCACCTTCTAGCTCCTGTGTACATGGCCTAAAACAAATGTCTGTAATATTTCTTCCATTGGATGGAGTGGGGAAAGATTTGAACTCCAGTTAGTTTTTTTTTACTGTTCTCTTGAGCTCCATTAGATTTTCCCTCACTTCCTGTCTTGATGACAACTTTTTTCCAGACAGGTGTGAGTGAGGGGAACTCTCTAACGGTAACTAGACATGTGAGGTTCGTTTAGTTCCGAATCGAAATTCAGACATTTTCATTATTCGGAGATTCGGATGTATTCAAATTTCTGAATTACAAGAATAACAGATATTTAAAAAAAAAATCTGAAATAATGAAATTAAATTTCGTCTGAAATAATGAATTATCCCAATTGAATTTGAAAACGTAATTGAATTAAAAAACAAATTTGAAGTGTAAACATATTGCTGATTTCCTTCAAAGATTGT